TAGCTTGACCTCTTTTTACACCATCCAATTAAATTGGAATTAGCTGAAGGTTAATAGTCACTAATAATAAATAGTGACTGAAATCATATCTGGACACTGAAGGGTTGATTTCTCTGTACAGTTTAGGTTAATATTCTTACTTCTACATAATGATGTACAGCAGAAAAGTCCAATTTCAGCCCTAGAATTCAGGAATCTGTGAATGTATGCAGTATAGTATTGAAAAACCTTGTGGAGAGGATTGTTAAGGATCTGTTGGGAAGTGGTCTGTCACATTTAGGATGACTCCTAAACAATGCAGTTTAATACTGCACTGGAATACTATGTAAAGCAATTAAGATTTGGTTGCTCATATTTGCTTATTTGAAATGAATTTAACAGCTGGACAGGCAAGTGGTGACAAAAATATTTATCAATGGGATTCGGGCAAGCTTCTATAAAGTTCTGAAATTCTGGAGACAACCCCAGCTATGCTTTACCATCCTAAGTAAATTGGTAATTAGAACTGGGTGGTAAAACTGAAATCTTCATGCTTGCTTGTTAATAATTCAGTGGTTGTAAATTTTGGACCTGATAAATTTTGGTCTCCTGGCTAATAAAAGGATTTATTTTATTTCATGAGTAATGACTTTCCTTTAATTACATTAAAGAGGAGATAATGGCAATTTTCCATGCTTAAGGCAACATAGTTAGTTGTCCTTTTTTTCCTCATATTAAAACATTCATTTAATCTTGTCCAGGAATAAAATGTTGGAAGCCTGTCAGCATCAGTTTTATAGATAACTCTTCTTTTAAAAAAGATATTGGGTATCATAAGGCTCAAGGGCTGCCTTGCCAGACTCATTTATTTCCATTTACCTTTTGTCAGCATTGCAGATGGAAGACATTCAATTAAATCATGTCACCTGTTACTTGTGATCTAATTTGTATTTGTAAATGGCACAGATTAGAATGCCAAGCTTCACATGTTCCCAACTTTTTGAAATTATGTAGAATAGTAATCCCTTTGGAAACGTTAGGAAAAGCATGCATATGAGAAGAGTTGTTACTTATGCACAGTGAGTTGTCAAGGCTTTTAAGATCAAATCTATCCTGCTTATTTTTCCCCTCCATGTTTCAAGTGAGTTATCTTGGCAGGAACAGCCCTTCCATTAGGAAGAGTGAACTAGCCACCTTACATAGCAGATCCTGGAGGTGTCTGTGGAAGGCAATGGTAGCAATCCCACATCACCTGTTCCTCTGTGTTAGCAAAGACCCCTAAGCTGTCTCTGTCTTTAGTTGCCATGGAAGATACTCTCCTAATAGTGGGGTTGAAGAAGGTTTTTGCAGCTAGTCCCAAGAGCTTCTCTACACGGACTTGTACTCAGCTAGGTAGCAAAATCTACTGAACTTGGCTGATAATTGACAAGTTGAACATGGTTAGTATTTGGATGAGAGACCACCAAAAAATACCATGGCTGAGGCTAGACTAGGAGCTTGAAAATAACATCCCAGAATATTTCATTGTTCATTGTTTTAGAAATTGTATATGGCTACCCATCTTGCATATGAGCTCTAGTCAGCTAATAACAATCAACAAAAAACAATATCATAAAACCTCTAGAAACCAAACAGAAAACAGAATTTAAATAATCATATAACTTCTTCTAACAAGCTGACAGCACATATTGTTAAGAAAAGAACCTGGGTGTTGAACTTCATTCAAAAGAGGCTTTGCTCTCTCTCTCTCTTTAAAACAAATACAGTTGGGATGAGCAGAAGGCATCTTGTCCATTTCAGTGAACTAAATTTCATGGCGTAGCCTCATAATTAAATCCAGTGAGCTGTTCAGTATTGTATCTTATTTTTCAGAGAACATCTCACTTTCATGTTATTGTATGCAGAATTATTGTGAATCTTCTTTCACTTAAAATGTTGTCTCCCCCAATGGTTAGGTCTTGAAGTCAGTTTCACTGTTCTTTGGATCATGACTATTTTTTTGTAGTTCCAAAATTACCACAGCCTTTCTTCTCTGATCTGAACATTATATTCTGTACCTATACACATACATGGACACACTTCACATTTTTACACTGCCCTCACTAATGTGCTTCAGCCTGCAGATAGCTATCAGGAGAAAGAAACTGACTTCCCTTTGCTAATTGTTAATTCAGCAGTAGAGCAGGAAAGCTTTAACATGATCCATAGCTTTTATCTTTTTTGATGACTTAGGATTCCATTTTCAAAAAAATGCCTTGCTGATGGATATGCACTTTTTATAACTTCATTACTTCTTAGCTTTGCCAGTATTTAGTTTTACCATTGTGGAGCTGAATAATTTCAGACCTATTTAACATGATGTGGAACTTTTGAATTTTTTTATTTTTTTTATTTTTTGACAGACAAAAAAAGATTTTCAAGCAGTTTGGTGACATTTTCTTACATGGTTTTATCTGTGATTATGTATTTCCTTAGAACACTTTTCTTCTCTATTTTCCCACTGTATGCATAAGGCATTTTTTTATTGCATTGTATTATTTGAAATGTATTCAAATTGATACATTTATTTGAGTTTAATAAAAGCAGAGGAAGAGAATTGTTTTTGTTGTTCAGTCACTTCTACTTCTTTCTCACCTGATGGACATCATTTTATAAGGATTAACTGCTTCTTTGACCTCTTGGAAGTTCAAGCTCACATCAAGAGTGATGGTATTTAGCTACCTCCTTCATCTTGGATTTTTTCAAACATCAGGCCTGGTCTTCTCCAGGGAGTCTTGCCTTTGCATTAGGTGTCCAAAATATTTAAGCTTTAGATTCACTATTTGTAATGTCAGTGAGCAACCTGGATTTACTTCATATTGTCCTGACTAACTTGTCCTTACAGTCCAAAATATTCTCAACAAGTTTCTCCAGCATCACAGTTCAAAGACATCATGTTTTCTTAGTGCATTTCTGATGGTTCAACTTTCAAAGCCATAGGCTACAAGGGTTTTTACAGGCTACTACATTTTTCTGAAATCTGTACAGTTAAAAGCCTTAGTATTATTAATAAAGCAAAAATAAACATTTATTTATTTCCTAGATTTATATCCTGTCTTCAGGCACTCAAGGCAGCACATGTAGTCCTTCTTCTTGCATTATTCCCCATAATTGGTGTACTTTAAGATTTTAAAAATTACTTAATTTAAGGTGTTTATTCACCCTACCTGTCATTTTTATTATTAAATTAACTGTGCTATCTTATTTTCCTATAGGAGACAATGATTCTAATGAAAATTTGCCATAAAGTTCCTTCTTTTATTTTTTTATTATTAATCCTTTGGGGCATATTTGTTTGGTTGTTTGTTTATTGCCTCTGCTAATCTTGCCTAAACTTTATTTATGAAATTCAATTTAATAACATTTGCTTTCTGTACGGAATGCAGTTTTACATTGTAGAAAGTATCAAACCTGTGCCCCAAGAAATGCTATTCCAGAGTACTGGATGTAATTTTAAAACATTGTTTTTATTCTGTATTATTTCTGACATACGAATGGAAAATCTATTTATACTAAACTGAGTTGATTGTGAATTAGATTTGAACTTCATTCTGCTATTCACTGTTGTTGGCAGAAACTCCTAACAACTTTGTCCTGACTTCTTTCCTCTTCATCTTATTTCTTTTAAAGATGCTTTAAGGGAATCAATTCCAAGAGTAAAGTTCACCAGGGCTAAATTGCAATTGGATTCCCTGTTTTGAATTATGCTTGGTGCATGTCATTTGAGTATCATCACCACTACTTTTGCTTGACATCAGCATATGTGATACTATAGCTCTTCCTATAGAACACATATTATATCTACAGGAAGAGCTGTAGTGTTTCGTTAGTCTTTTTATTTCTTGATTTATTCAGCTGTGGGGAAGAAATAGCAAACATGACAAGATACACCCTTTAGATGTGATTATGCTCCTTTATACCAGGAATACTTTGTTCTTTCTTTGGAAACGAAAAAGATTTATGGTTGAAATATCTTCACCTTCACCACTGAAGGCCTACATAGTCTGTATCACAGCATAGTGAGACTGGTGTCTAGGTATGGCTTCTCCTGGACAGACTGACAATTTACATCCTGGAAACGCTAAGGAAAGACTATTACAGTGGAGCTGTTTTTGAAAGCTATTGCAGAGTTTGAATCTTACGATATCAGTCTTGAAATAACATCACTGAGCTTTGGTCAAATTTCCGATTTAAATTTCCAAGCATAATTCAAACCCTTTCTTTTCAAGTCCTATGTTGGTCAGAACTATGGTACCTGAAACAAACACATTTCCAAGTTGTATGTGCCCATGACTTGGGGTCACTGGTGGAAGCTCTCCTTTGGGTGTCCAGCATCTGAGGAGAGGTGAGTGGCAATTGAAGAAGAGGGCTTTTTCACTGCATATGTTTATGTTGCTCTGTCTCAAGAAATGCTTATCTGGCATTGAAGATGTCCTCATTCTTCCAGGTTCTCAGAGTTCAGTTTTTTAGCCTATTTTATCTATGACTTCACTGTTGCTTTTATTATTGATTGTTTTTGTGAATTGCAATGTGACCCATTCCAACAGGGTACTTCCCCAAAGACACTGTCATCAGTTGTCAAACATTTCCCAGACCCTCAGAGCCAAGTTGTAACAGCTTGCTCTTATCACAACCATAGTGAGACCTCAGGAAGAGACAACCAAAACTGTTACCTTCAGTGGTACTGCCCCCATTCCCCCATGCTTGTACTATGTTTCTTTTCATAGTGGGAAGGTGCTGTGTCTGTGCTACAGCTGAGCCAAAAGAAACACCAGTGGCATGGGATCCTAGGGACACAATGCTGATCGAGAATCAGCATCAGTGTACTACATGAAAATGTGGGGAATGGGGGTTGTACTTTAATAGGGAACAGACTCAAATTTTGACTTATTGATCAAAACTTTTCAAATAATTGCATAAATTATTTCAATTGTATTAAACCTATTTCATTTTTTGCTTTGCTTTGCTTTTTCCGTGTTTAGGAGTGCGCCTAGACAGAGTACGTGGTGGTCGCCAGAAGTACAAGCGCAGAATAGATGCAGAAAATAGTCCATACCTGAATCCTCAACTAGTCCAGCCAGCCAAAAAGCCATGTAAGTACCTAAGAAGGTAGTGTACCCTTTGATGTCATCAATCAGTGAAGAAATATGAACAAAATAGTATAATGTCTTGAATAAATGATGATTTTGTCTAGTATTTTTATCGCCTTGCTCCTTTTTCAGAATAACTGAAGGAAATATGCTTCAAAGGTAAGAGTTTGGTAATGCACAATTTATGCTATACAAATTTTACACTTCCAAGTGATCTTTATTTTCACTGGTACATAAAATGGGTCGTGCTAGGATCATTAGTTCATTGAAGCTTCTAGTCTCAGGTTTTACAAGAATGAAATGTTGTAGTTTTCACTAACTAGATGAATTTGACTGCTCAACCTCTCAATGAAAATACATTAGGAGCCTCATTAATTTATAGCAATAGAAGGTTGAAACACTACCTGGTATTTCAATAAAATAGCAATGTGCTACAACTATAAAATACATTAAGGTAGGGTTTATTCATGTGTGTAGTTAAAGCGGGTATGAGTTTTCTTATATCCAGATAGTACTTAAAAAGCAAGATATAAACTAAAATTAAAGATTTTGCAAATTGTACAAATTGATGCATGCTAATTCCCTAAAGAAAATATAATGACAACACAGTATAAAAATCAGTTGCTTAACCTATACAAACATGAATTAGCAATAAATGCAAATTCTTTTGTAAGTTACTTGCAAGCTGGCTGCCACTAAGTAGTGGCATAAACCACTTGAGCGCAAATGCCTCTATTCCAGACATATAGTATGTAATAAAGGGCTCTGCATGCTACACAGAAGGCACTTACCTGGTTGTGTCAAAAAGCAGTATGTTGTTTTTCACCTGCCATTCCCCAGCCCAGGACTCTGCTGGTTACAATACACATGAGCCATATGGAGATCTGGAAGGAAAATAAATAGGTTCTGAACTGTAAGTGAAAGGGCATTTTAGCGATGTCAGAGGGAAAACAAACCAGTTTTACATAAAATTAAGGCTTAAGTGAACATATGGCATCGTTTCATTTTGCCTTTCCAAAAAACATTATGCTGATTATACCTTCGATTGTCCAACCTGGCATCTTCCGTACAGTCCACATAAGCTGTTCTACCCCTCTGTAAATGCAATATAAGGTTGCATTAAGCAGATTTTGTGCATTATAATAAAAACTTTCCGATAATACAATACAATTCAATGAACTCTAGTGCTTAATTTCATTAGAGGTTTAGATTTTCTGGATGCACAGATTGCCAGCTTTTTATTTATTTTATATTGTGCCATTGAGTTGAATTACTGACAGCTCAGCCCATGCACACACAATTAAGCCTATTTAGCACCGACTTAGGTTAATGCAGCTGGGCTGAAAATGTAGGAAATTGAAAAGGTGCAATGCAGGAGTGAGATGTCCTGAGAAAGCCATATTGTGATGAATAGGCAATGTCTAAAGAATACTACCACACTTTTTTGCAGCTCCCATTAATTTCAATCAATATCTTCTCTATACGACCATCTGAATTAACAGGGAACAGTGCATTGTGTTATACGTAAGAAAGTAACTAGAACAATTTTAAGTTGCTACCAAGACAAGCTAGCCTCCAGCTTTTCACAAAGCATTTTAAGGGGATTCCTGATTTTTTTCCCTTTGTAATGGAAAAGAAGCATAACTTTTTTTTTTTTTTAATCAATTTCTGCAGTTGTAACAAGGAAACGATAAAATGGCTTTTAAGAAGTAACTGGAGAGATTTTCTGGATTCTGACCGTTTGTGCACAACAAAGGCAGGGGAATGAAAATTGGGATTTATTGATTCTAACTGGGAATCATTAAATAAATTTTATTTGTTCTTCAATATTTGTAAATGCTTTTCCCTGATAGCTAAATAGATATTGGAAAAGGCTCACAACAGGTATGTTTACTTCCCCCTCTTTACTCAATCTCTTTATTTGCTATCTTTTTACGAGACTCCAGTGGTCTGCCTACAGGTCATATCATGTCAGAATAATGGGGGTCAAAATTTTGTGCAGCATAATTTGTATGGCATTCTGAGCTACTGCATGAAGTGAAATGTCTGTGGTTGAAGGAAAATAGAATGTTCTGTTTTTCTACCCTCTCGTATGCTTTTCTCAGTTGCCTTTCTTTTGTGAAATCTGGATTTTGAAAACTTCCTCTGCAGCAAACCAAGAATTTCTATGATTATTCAATTTCAGAGTCAAGTAGCTTATCTTGTATGTCTATTTCATAATTAATGCCAGAGAAATTTAGGAATCTAACAAAAATATAAAAATGTTTGTCACTTTGTTTTGCTAGTTTTGTTTTAGAAGATAGGGCAAACTGTTAAAAACAATGCTGGATAATAAGCCAAGAGATTAATGAAAATGTGTGCATTTGTTTGTGTGTTTGTCCCAATCCAAATTTAAAACTATCATGGAAAACTGTTTATCAGAAACTGCTGAAACCGCTATTTATCATCTGTAAGTAATATAAATATTCTTCATTAATCAATTTTGATAATGGTAGCATCGGGGGTGGGGGGAATATTTATTTTGTTGCCAGAGCTCCTGCCGAGAACATCTACCTCCTAGGCTTTTTAATAACAATATTAAAACCAGTTTTTAATTGTCTCTTCTGTAAATGTGAGTATAAGCTCTACCTTAGCTAGGATATGCTCTCAGTTTTAACACAGCCCTTTTCCACTACCTCTTCCACATCAACAGCATTCACAAGGGATGCATTACAGACTTAGTGTTCTTCTTGTCACTTGCAAAGAAGCCCTTATTAATAATAATAAAGCATGCTTGATGCAATGCCTTACAATTGGCTTTTGCATTTGTTTTATGAAGGACTGACATACCTCACCTTTCTGACATCCACATTTGTAAAATGCTGGAGACAAATTGATCAGAACTCCAGAATAAATTATGAAATGGAACATTTAAAAAACCTTTTTAGAATGAGCTTTGTCAGTTTTTTGAAAAAAAAAATATTGGCTGCAGTTTCTATTCATTTTTTTTTTTTTTACATTTACATTTACCTTTTTACCTTTTACATTTTTTACATTGTGTTTTTCATTTATTTTAACTGCTTTGTAAACTTCTCAAGAGTCATTTTTAACAAGATGGGCAGTGACAAATTTGATATATAGGTAAAATAAAAATAAATACATAATTAAGCTTTACCACTGATACTGGTGGGGACCTATGCATACTGTATAAGATGCTAGTTAGTTAAATCAGTTAAATCAGTTAAATAGTTGGAGAATCGAACTGCCTTTGCTTAACGTGCATCTTTCACCAAGCTATGAATGTTTTCAGTATATAGAATTTATAGTGGATATGTAAACATGTTTGTTACAGACTTCCAAGTTTCAAAGAGTAGAATTCAAAATGTGACAGAAATTATGGCTTCTTTTCCCCCATATTTTCTCAACTTGATCAAGCAGGGGATTAGAGTTCATGTGCATGTTCTCTCAACCAGTATTGTGCATATGTGAATTTATGTATTTCAGCGATTTTTGGAAGGGTTTTATTTGATGTTTTTCCTAGGGATCTTAAATGTATTATCTGTTCATAGAATTATACTCTCTCCCCTTTTCCCTCTTTAAGCTGAAAAGTATAAAATTCATCTGTATAAAATATTGCCATAAGAAAGTTTTCCCAGAAACTGTAATGTTCCTTTTATATTAAAATATTTGCATGATATGAGCCATTTAACTTTACATAAAAGTTTAGGAATAACTACAGCATCATACAAATTCCATCCTGGTATGAAGAATTTAAGCTGATTCCTGAGTATAACATATAAATATTCAGTCTAACCTTGTGATCTTCTGTAAGTTAGTGTATACTTTTTAATTTTTTTTCAGTGAATGGTGCAGCTGTGTTCCAATGTTCCATTTTGTTCAGCTCTCTGTACACTAACTAGCAATTGCTCTTCGGGATTCAAAGACCTACAGCTTTTCCTATGTGTAACAACTTTATATCTGAAAAGTCCTGAACATTATGAGTTGTACCATGATGGCTCTGTTCAGACCTTTCTAAGAACAGAAGAATAGCCCTGCTGTATCACATGTTCTGCATCACACAGTGGCTAATCAAATTCATCCAGGAAGTTCAGAAACAAGACATCAGCCCTCTCCCACTAGCTAGCTAGCAATAGATATTTAAGATTTATAGCCTGTGATTCAGACTGTTTCTAAGGTAGACAGCCCTCAAGGGTATATTCTAATACCCATTGATAACCTTACTCTCCATTAATTTTTAAAATATGCTTTCAGAAAGTATCAGAATTGGTAGCCATTATTACATTTAATAGCAACAAATTCCACAAATTCCATAGGTTAAAATATGGACTTCTGGCATATGAATATAAGTACCATCAAGAATCTCCTCCTTGTCCCCCCCCCCCTTTTATCCCCATAAAACCCATAGTTGAAAATGAATTAGATACAAATTTAAAGAATTTTGAAGTTAGATTATCACACTGTTAGCCATGAATTCCTCAAGGATCATGATCTATAACATCATCCATTACTTTGTCCTGATCAGATTTGGGAGGTGCTGAATGAATGGGACGGATTGGTTGAATGGGCCCAACAATCATGGAATACTAGTCATTCTCCCTGGCAGGAGACAAAGGAGATAGGAGTCGAGTTATGTAGACAGAAAAGCAACTGGGGATGGATATGTGGCATTTGATAAAACTGGAAGTCTGGCAGATAATCTGATGGGAGAATTGAGGTGGAGCTTTAGTTGAAGTTAAAAGAGGTAAAAGAAGCTGAAGAAAAGGAATGGATAAGGAAGAATTGGTGGTGGCAAGATAGAGTGTAGAGTTGGAGATGTTCAACTCCAACTCTGTTCATTCCCAAGAGAGAATGGGAAACCATTTTTGGACCTTTTCTGATAACATGGTTGGGAGGAAGAAAAAGAAAGGAAAGAAGGTAGATTTGATAGATTGTCATGACGGAAGAATGTATAGATGAGTCTAGACTGGAGAACAAAAGAAGTGAGTTGCAAAAGATCTGGGACA